TGCTTGCTACCTTTGCCCTTGTACAGTGGTAGCACAAAGGCATTCTTCAGCTCAGGAGGCACCTCCTCCTCAATCCGTGCAGTTGCTTCAAGTGGTGCAGCACAGTCAACAACGCGGGTCCGCCGTGTTTCAAAGCTTCAGGCGGGATCCCGTCGGCTCCGGCACATTTGCCGTTTCGCAGCTGAGCAAGTGCTCTCTGCGTCTCATGCAGTGTCGGCGTGTCCGCCAGATTCGCCTTCATATCGTGCTGCTTGAGGTCGTTCAACGTAGGCCAGTCGATCTCTGAACGGTTGTTCAAGAGACAGTCAAAGTGTTTTCGCCAGATCTGCATTATGTCTGCAGTCTGTGTGCAGGTAGCGCCTGAACTACCATCGATCAGTGTCCTCAGCGGCTCCAATCTCGGTCCATACACCACCTTCAAGGAGTCAAAGAATTCCTTGTGTTGGCGGCGTTCGGTGTAGCATTTCATCTGCATCGCCTTCTCTGTCCACCATGCATTTTTAATGCGACGGAGCTCTCGGGTCAGTCGCCGTCGAAGTTTGCGAAACTGACTCTTTTCAGAAAACTTGGTAAACGACCGGTTAATGTATTTATGGTGATACACAACGTTTCGCATTTGACACAAATGCTTCATCAGGCCTGATGAAGCATTTGTGTCAAATGCGAAACGTTGTGTATCACCATAAATACATTAACCGGTCGTTTACCAAGTTTTCTGAAATGATGGCTTCCCGATCGGTTCCAAATATGTTCCAATATATTGAGAAACTGACTCTTCTTCCCCAAGTCACCTGGGTCTGCAACATGTGCAGCAAATGCTGTATTTTCCCCGACACCAGTGGGCTGATCGTAGCATTGTTGTCGTCAAAACAATCAGGCTGCTTACAGTTTGCGCGCCCGATCGTCTCCTCGGCAGCAGGTGTCACCTGGTCGCGAATGTGGTGACACAGGTCGCCCACTGTGGCTATGCGTTGCACAACAAACTGGCGTGCAACCATCGCCTTCTCCATCTCAATACGTTTCTCCACAGCACCGTGTGAGACGATGTTGCATTGCGGCGATTCACGGCGGGAGTGCAATCCATAGATTTACGAAACTATATGTACAGTTTGGTTTGCACCAACTTGTGATCAGTGCCACACTCAGCTCCACGCAGTACACGTGTCATGCGCACTTCACGCGTATCACGCTGACGTACGATGATATATATATATATATATATATATATATATATATATGCAGTTACCATTCAAATGGATAGAAGGACGATTTTCCGTCCAAGACTTTCTAGAAGGTTAAGAGATACAAAGTTTTTAAATGAAAATATTAAATTTGATCTACCTGTTCCCATTGATTTTCCTCATTTTCGGCATCTGGTTCACTACATGGGCTAACAAAGATACATAAGGCTGGCGTTGCCATGTTGTCTATAATCCGTAATATATGCTCTCCGACGAACGAACCCCGCGAAATAGTTAGAATATTACAGCGCTTGACAGGAGGAACCATTAGGGCTGCGTAAAACTCGCATGAGTTTGCCGACAAGATAGGAGGGCTCAGTTTCGAGCCGGATGAATTAATGGTAAGCTTTCACTTATGTACCCAAGGAGGTGGCGCTGGAGCTATCTAGACGCTGTCTACACGAGGGCAACACACTGGGTGAGGTAACGAATCTTAAGGTTGACGAAGTAGTACAGAATATGCTATTTATACATTGACATGTCTTACTTCGTTTTTAAATCGATGCTGTAAACTCAGAGACAAGGTCTGTATTGGGCTCTCCAATATCAGCTGCATTGGCGAACTTGTACATTGAAAACTTCTAGAAGATGCTATTAAACTGCGCTAGCTCACTGAAAGTTTGGTGTCGCTACGTCGATGATACTTTTGTGATAATATAAAGAGAGATTAAGTAGTACTTGTTAACTCACCTTTACTCCATTGACAAGAGAATCAACTTCACGGGGAACTTGGAGCCGTGCAGTGGTACAATACCATTCTCCCACTGCCTAGTGCCGACCCTTGGTCTTAAGGATTACAGTTCTGTCTTGTAATCCTTAGGTCGCGGTTTCGAGCATGCGTAGGGGACCGGGCTACCCACGCAGTATCCACAACCCACACGCGACTGGTGGAGGCCGCGTAGTCTCTGTCTTACATACTGGTTTACTTCTGATGCCCTGACTGTCTAGCTCATAGAAATAGAGGAACTCTGATAACAATGATATATCATAAGCCAAGAGATAAGGATGGAATCCGGCATTATGCGTCAAGTCACTGAAAAGCTTTTACGCGGCGATAGCCTTATCGCCTTTCCACAGCGCACAGACCCTGTGCGCACCGGAAGACGATAGAAGGGTCTCACAGAAAGAGATGTGCGAACTACCCTTCAGTGCTTATCCGCAAAGTTTAATGAAACGTCATTTTAGCAAGTACTAAACCCACATGCAAAGTCCATAAGTCAATGCACAGGGACGGTCGGAATTCGCTACAAGGAAAGAACCTCGGGAACGATTCTTATGGTGCTGAACAAGGGAGGCATAACGGTGATTTTCCAAAGTGGCCCAACAACGTTCAATACTGATGTGCTTGGAGAACCCAATTTCCACAGTGAAGATGACTAACTGAATCTACAAAATCAACCAGAATGACTGTGCACACCTATGCATTGGCCAAACAGCGAGAGAGCTCCGAACACGGATCTGCCGAGGAATGAGCTTGAATACAGTGGTCTGTTAAAAGATCCTGCCGTAGCTCTGCATGCACTGAGCACCGGGCATCCGGTCTATTTGGATAATGTAGAGATCATTAGATGAGCTTTACGAGTGAAGCCCCAGAGGTTATCTACCGAGGCGATCGAAATCACTAAAGATCATATTTGCGTGAATAGAAAGTGGGGAGTGAAACTCAAGAGTACGTAACGAGCAGTCTTACTCAGACCAGTCTGATTAGTGTCAGTACGTGGGTCAGGTTGTTAGACAAACCCGACATCATCATCATCGTCCCCACGACCGTAAATGGCAACACGACAGACGGTGAAACTCCTGGAATAGTCCCACTCTGACTGGACCACTTGTGATGACTTTTCCACCTGTGTCTGTAAGAGTCCCCTGACTCATATCTCAGTTGTTACGATTATGTCCCTTAATCACTATTAAATGTCACACCAGCTAGGTGGCAATTCACCTGGCCTGTCCAACTACTTGCTTCAATTGCGAAACGTTACCAAATTTATAAATCAGCCGATTGTTCCCAAATCACTATGAAATCAGGACTTTTCCATCGGTTCCAAGCATATTTTAAGAGATTTAATCTAGTACACTCATTAGATCGAGTAGATGCATTGAAGAATATTCCTATTTAGTTCTTCCACCGATTTCATTTTTATGTGATTTCAGGCATTTCGTTTCATTGGCATCTTTAGTTCTTTTTTGACCACATCGAAGACACACAGAACCAGAGGTTGTTGTATATCTTGTCCTTAAGTACGGGGTTAACCACAATTCTTCCTTTCCCATTGAATCGCCTCGTGTGAAATGAAATGGGGCATGATAAAGGCTCTTTTGACATACGTTGGAAATAAGTGAAATTTCTCGATTTTTCTACGAAGAGCACATTTATTTTATCCAAGGCACGGCGTCCGAATTCATCGTTATTGACCGCGTTCCTTCACCTCTCGCTCTTAGTTCTCCGTAAGAGCCGGGTATCGAAGGTAGCAGTCTGTTGTCTCCCCTAAATTGTGGCCAAGCTGATGCAACCATGGCTTTGGTTTGTTACCCTACTTTTATCCTGTACTGACATGCATCAGACTGTACGTGTCCTTTCCTCTAAGGGGCCGCCTTGCTTGCATCTCCACGCCGCATCGCATCACGTTCTGGAAACGTTGTTTGTCCAGATAGTGTCAATATAATCTTTCGGTAACGAGCTCGAATCGCTGACTCTTCGGACACAATACAACCGTTTTATGTTATCCAGTCTAATCGGCCATCACCCATATCAGTTCCACTGAACTGATAAAACATGATTCTAGGGCAGACGCCACACCAACCAGTTTTCCAAAACTGAGTGATTGTACCTTCATCGAAACTTGTTACTTTGAATGAAGATCTGGATGAAACTGAGATTTGGCAGAAGTTTCCAAAGTGGAGTCTTAGGCAACGGGAGTTAATGACGGAAAAACATTTTACCTATGGCTATTGAGTATGACATACATTAGTGCTAGGGTGGCTACGGTACTTTAGAAGACATGATGCCACTCCGTTGTCAAAGTCGATGTAGTGATTTAACTTTAGAGGCATTGTTCCAGCTCGTTCATCCTGTAACGCGTTCCCGAGGCAACTGGAAGAATTTAGTTAATCATACAGCTCGGGAACTGGTGATTAATTACGCCTTACCTACACATTTAGCACACAGCGTCACCAAACAAGGCCCCTTACTCCTGGAAGTTTCATTATGCGTCTGGTGGAATATGTCTCACGGGCGAAAAACAAGTGCAAGTCGCCTTGGCCAGTAGTGCTTGTTACCCACATTGCACAGTACCTGTTTAACATACTTTGTGGCTTTTGATGGAAATCACTCGTCGCATGCAGCTTCAACACGTCCTGAGACAGTGCCACCTGACTATTTACTAGACCGGAGTAATCCCAGATCACCCAGCTGTAGGCGTGAGGAGATAAATTCGCGGTGCAACCGACGAGTGGCCAATACTTTGGTTTGCAGCATTTCACCACAACTCACACTATCTATTGCACATGACTTTCCGGCTACCTGAGTGTTAACATTACTCTAGTGAAAAACGCTCTACAAATAGTGTTGCTAGCTCTGCAATTTTGATCAATCGACATAAAGTGTAAAAGGAGGTAATTTGCTGAGAAATTTCCGCGTAGAGTGATTGATACATGCATTTGGATTGCCAATTATGTGTTTGCATTGAGACTCGGAATCTCATCCTCAGCCGCGATTTATTTTTTATGCTAGTTGTGAATCATCATTTTACCTTTCAGACGAGTCCAGTCAACTGGATGAGTCGGACGACGAGTTGGATGATGAAGATGACGAGGTGGGTAACGACATGTTTTTGTGCCTTCTAGTGTTCTTTACCTTGGGTCTCAGAGATAATATGTTTGACGTTCATCATTCTGTTTTATATCTTTCAGGAAGACGCCTCTACTCTGGAATCCGATTTAGACAGACAGGACATGCCTCCTCCGGAAGCCGCAGATTTAGCACTCGTGGATGGTCTGGATGCCTCACTCAAAGATCCGAAATTGTGGGTCGGTGAAGGTCTGCTCAGGCAAACTTATGCTGCGAAACCGACACTTCGCGGAGAAGCGAACGGGAGCGTGGATTGGTGTGCACCATTTTTAGCACGAGATAATGAAGCTCGAATGTCTTCAGCCAGCTTCAAATTTAACGGAGTTCTGCAAAGACCAACTACTCCTGGTCAATTGTCGGCACAAACATCTTTGTCACTAAGTCGACCATGCTCGGCACATAGGTTGGTGCACTTTTTGTCAAGACAATTATCACTTTTCGAAAACTTGTGCACAGTTGGATATCAAACTTCTCATCAGACTGATCATTCCGTTTGCTTTTACATCAGACTTAACTTATGCAGGATAACCTTAATGTTAGTCCACACTAATTCAACCCAAGGTTTACTCATGCTCGAAATTACTTTATCCAGTGGGGATGCACGATTCAGATACCTACTGTTAATGCAATTCAGCGTAGTGCGCAAATGAGCGAACATTTGAAATCGTTGTGTCCGTGTGTCCACTCGTGGACATGCTGACGAGAGGAGCGGAAATGGTAGGTATGCGTCGATCAATTGGTGGCATGTATTTATGGTGACTGAGGACTTCCGAATGGCACAAATGGAAAGATAACAAATATGCTTGTTCACAACTACAAAATCAGTGGCGCTGCTCTTTAGATCCTTTGGACCAATCGATTTATCCTTCCAAACGGAATTAGACTTTAGTGTGACACGCATGATTAGACAGAGGCGTTCTGGAGTTCAAGAACTTCAGCTATTTTCATCCATTCATGTATCTATCGTTCATGTAGACGTTTCAAGGCCGAAGTGATTTCAGAATCGGTTTACCGAATAGACCCTTGGTCCCATGAAATCATTCCCATTTTAGTGATAATTCATGAACTAATTAGTTATAATTTATCGATCGGCTTGTTTAGGAATGCTTTGTTTCAGGAAATAGGAATTCATAACCACTGGAAGTGTAAGGGAGCCTCGTGTCAGGTAGTGTTTACAAATTACTCTGCAAGTGTTGAAGGACGGAGCGTATATTACACATTTCCGTAAATTACAAGGCGGTGATAACCTACTGTCATTTTGAAACCTCTGGATACTTAACCCCTATTGTCACAAGACCTGAAATCCTTGTGCAAGTAGAACGCGGAGCTACGCAAATGAGATACACTTTTGTTCCCTCTCCATTCAATCAAGTAGGCTTTTCATCGAAAACTAAAACGCCACAGCAACCACGTCATGTTAAAATCCACTTGCAAGCGATGCATGGTATACATCTTCTGTCAGACGGATGGTGAGTGGTTCCATAGAAAATCCAATAACCTCATGAGCAATGTGCCTAGTCATCTCCCCATTTTCCACTGTATGCACTCTTCTCATCATTAGCTTCCAAATCCTTCGATTTTTTATTATTACCTCTACCGTATAGAAGAAACGTCGAGCGTCAATCATCGGTGAATGAGGAATCAACATTACCTTTGTACCTACGGGACAGTCTGGCCACATTGTCCCAAGGCTTCAGTGAAGGTACCTCATTGAGTATTTCTTATGGCACGACTGTTTTGCTCGATGAACCCTTGTATATTCCCATTCAGTGACAGCGAAAACACATCATCGCTCTGCGTTGCTAACATAATAGATTCTGATAATAACCGTGTAAGAAAGATAATAAAATTGGGACAAGCAAAGCCAACCGGGTAACCTAAGAGTGGTTTGTCACTGAGCATGACTAAGAAGTGCCAATGGCAACCTACCATCCGTTATCGAAGAGCAGAATCGGCGCGACGACAGAGAGGTGTTTACTCTGTTGGTCACTATTCTCTGCGTTCATCAATTTCGCTGCGTTTAACTTAAATCATATAGCAAGTAAAGCATTTCCTGGTGCGCACCAACCAATACACATCAGTATGTTAAGTCCTTACTCAACAAACTGTACCTACAAGAGCGGATGAACCAGTGTGTATTCTACGCCATTTAAATAAACCCACCCAAGCATACCCAACCAACTCTTGAGGCATTCGTCTCGCCCAGTAGGGACCTAATTCATTGACATCCCCTTAGGCTTACTGGATGACCTCCCACACTCTGGTTCCATATTTTAAATATCGGGTAGTGTTTTCTTGTAATCGGATACGGATCTCATCGATAATTACAAATTGTTTTAACTGAACTAATTCCTTCCTCCTATGGTGACGTTCGGGTCTGAGTACAGCCCATCACCCGATGCTTTCAATGTCTCTCCACATAGTAGCGGATGTTTCACCTTACCATTCAAGCTAAGTGAACTCCACTGAGCGTCTTTTATTTTGCTATTAATTGTACCAAGCTGACCGTACCCCAAGAGCTTCGCTGAACTTCGAACAATGTATGATGGACAATGCCACCGGGGGTCAAGCTCCAAAATCGCCTGCAGCCTCTAAGTCGAAATTCATACCAACTACATCCTCTTCGGTCGGCAAACGCTCCGCATTCGAAAGTCGTCCGAAAATACCCCGGACTCCAGAAGCAACATCGCCTACACATCATCGCTACTCCGACTATGACAAATATCAAACGCCTGACTCCACTGTTACCAGCACTTCACCCAAGGTGAATGAGTCGCAAGAGAGCACAGTAAATTGCAACGATCATGCACTGGAAAGTCAATTGGAGTCAAGAAGTTCAAAGAGATCGGACAACAGGTAAGTCGGTTACAATTTCTACGCCTCTGCTTCCTCCACGGGAATGTGTGTTTAGTCCAATATGTCACATTTATGACTGTTTGCCGAATCTTGGAGTATCTCCTTGGACATTCAGGGAACACTGAACCACTGCAATGGAGCAGTAGTTTATAACGGGTAAAAGAGCACAGTTTTAACACTCCCCGTAGGATGGTAGTAGAGGCTGTACTTGCAATTGAAATAAGTGGACCAAAGAAAATACGCTTCGGTGAAGCGATAGAGTAATGACGCATAGAAGGTGGGTTGTGGGAGTGAGATAGTGCCCGGCAAAACAAAATAACAAATTGTAATTGTTAATACTCATTGCAAATAATAATCAGATTGCTCACCTCTCTACATAGCTTTAGATGCGATACCGTGGGTAATAAAACCAAAGAGGTTGGTTGGCCTGAATATATCCAGAATACCCGTTCGTGTACCAAAGTACAGAGCGTTCAATTTCATATCCAATCGCTTCTTGACGATGGCTAGGGTAGGGGAACAGACAACTGAGTTTGGAAGTGCGTTCCAGGGTTGGCAGACCCAGAGCGTGAGATACGTTCGTCGAAAATCTAGGTGACTGTATTGTTGACTTAGTTTCAGGTCGCTGCCTCGGAGATTGGTGCTCGGGGTGAGTTTCAAAATGTGGCGGCATACTTGACTGGGGTCGCTCAGTATTTGGTAAACTAATATGAGGTCTCCACGTAGCCCCCGGTAGTGCCCACTGAACACTCGGAATGACTTCAGTCGTTGCTGGTGAGGAAGTTGGTGCAATCCCTTGACAAATTTCGTTGCTTGCTGTTGGGAAGTTTCGAGTGCTACAAGGCGACAAATAAAACACAAAGCCGGAACTGGACAACGGCACTCATATTTGCGCCTCCAATGCAAACAGTAACATGACTACGGACCATTTATTCTTATGTCCAACGAATGTGGCTTAAAGCTGTGACCGTATCAGTGACTGCACCACATTAGGCTTGTTTATCTGACACAAGAAACCTATGGCACCGGATAGCCGCATTAGAAACACAGTGTACCGCGTTTTACGTTTGCAATCTAACTCACCGCAAGACTTGCACGTAGAATAACGCACACGCGACATGAAAGAGTCAATTGTGGTATGGGGCTAAGTGCGCAAAAATGTTACCTTTGAAACACAAAGCGACGTACAGAGTATTGTGCGCATCAGCTGTATACCGGTCCACCGTACTAACACTTCACTGCCATGCGGCAACCATCGGTGGCGCATGGACTGGACATACCATGAGGTCGCTCGCTGTTATGCGGATCCGTGTCGCTGATATTAGGATTACAAGGCAAGCGTGCATTTTGCTTTGTTCTCCGAGCTGAATGATGTTGGTGGCGCCTGGGATACTACTCGGTAATCAATGACACGTAAGAGAAGTGTCAAATATGGGACATTATAGAGGTTGTAGGCGACTGAACCCAGCGTGTATTGTGCAGGCTACAAAAAAGGAAGCGAATCAACAAGAGCGAGAAACGGTGCACCAAGATACTCACCAAAACAGTTTGTGTCAACGGAGGTGCCGTCAGTAAAACTAGTGGACGTTTTGAAGGTTAAAACGACCATAAAATTCTATGTTGCAACATACTGAAAGAGCGTTTTTCCGGTACACTACAAAGGCCTCCTGCTAGAATGCTGAGGGATGGAAGCCTTCGATGGAGCTGTTATTGGTGGAAAATGGGTGTTGCGGATGGGTGCAAATAATTACATAGGCTTGAGTAGGGGCTTCCAGGATGGGATGTGCAGCAGAGTTCGCTGGGTCCAGGCTTTTGTTATGCATTATGTATGATGATCGTGTGGACCAGATTGCATCATCGCTGGGCCGTCGGGGCTGGCTGATCGGACTGCAAAAAACTGGCTAGTCCAGATAAAAGGCCGACAGGACATTCCCTCCGCTGTAGACCCGACGGTGCATGTGGGAGATGTCAATCCCCCACCACACTTCAGTCTATGGTCCTCGTCCCACGAAGAAATCCAGGCGTCCTCATCTGAAACCCGTAGCCAGGCGTTTGGGGACCAATCCGGTCGTGGCCGTCGGCGGTTGAGGGCAACTGACTGTTCCTTGGGTCAGGAAGGGGCCTTGAGCCTTCTGGCGAGTCACTCAAGGGTTGCGTTGCGCCGGTTGGTGACTCACTCGAGAGTTACCTTGTCAGTTGTAGTGGATGAGTTTCGGGAAGGTAGTATTCAGAGGAGGTTGGCAAGGGTCCGGGGAAGTGGTTTGATGCCGGAGAGGGAACATGACATGCATGATAAAAGCAAATACGCTTTTTAAGTTTTCAAAATGTGTTGGTTTCTTTTCGATTTCGCAAAACGTTTGTGAACGTGACGCACGATAGCCAATAAAGACGTAAAAGGCGTGTTAATGGAAATAGCAAACGTTTGCAAACTTTGAAAAACGGACCGGACGTTTGACCTGTCTACCGCGTCGGTCGTTTGCCTAGGGTTGAGGTGGGGTAGGTTGAGGGTCAAGGGGAACTGAAGGTTTCGGGATATCCAGTGCTCAGGAATTCACCTCAGGTGCGGGTACTTGTGTGATAGCATCAGGATGGGTTGCAAGTGGTTCGTCAAAGAAAGCCACTTTTAGGTGGTCGATGTATACCGTTGTTCGGTGAGCATTCTGCTCTAAAGTAAAATGTTTCGGAGCCCGTTGCAGAACTCTGAAAGGCCCAGTGTAGGGAGGCTGGAGAGGGCGCTGCACTGCGTCGGTGCGGAGGAAGACGTGAGTGCAGGTAGAGAGTCCGCTGTGCATTTGCACATCTCTAGTCTGCTCACAGACATTGTGGTACAGATATTGTGCCATCAGAATCATGGCTGAATAGGAAAACAATATGAATAATAAGAAAAGAGGAACAAGCATTGCTTTTTATCTATTTTACCGAACAATTTCCTCGTGGTGCCAGCTGGCTGTTTCGGGTTTTTCCCATTCCAGCGAATGGTTAGGCGGCAGTGTTCCAGCACGTGGTGGGTTTTCGCCTGGAAAGCCTTCTCCCTATAAAAAGCCACAAATGTCCGTTTAACAACACTGCGACGTGACGGATGTGACTCGCCCCTAAATGAAGTCACTGCCCCTTGCCCCTCCCTGAGAGGCATTGTACTTTAAGGGCGCGTTGGGCCCCTGGTCCTTCACGGACCGAAATGCGTATGAACCATCTATTTGGTCACCGGCCTCCAACGGGTTGCGACGCCCTCACATCGCCCTGCTGCCTTGTAGGTTAAATCTTTGATCAAAGGCTCGGGGTAGGGCCCCCTAAGACAACCCTCTACTTCGGTCTGGGCAACCGGGTAGTATCACGCACACTGACGAATCATGGACCACACCGCTAACTACTGCTCCTGCTATGCCTATCTTCTGTGCTAACTCAACCGCTCAACCTCCACTCACAGATCACCCCACCTCCCGTCTTTCACCCACATGTACTCTTATGTCATCTACGGTCACCGTCACAAACGACCCACGTCTTGCAGCTGATGGAAGTACCAGCCAAACTCCAGGTTTTCAATGTCCTGCGATCGCAACCGCCTCTCACTCCACCGAAGCTCCAGCTCTTCTTCGACCTGGTTCTCCATTCATCCTCGCAGCGTTTAATGTTCGAACTTTGATGCAGATTGGACGACAAGCATGTCTTGCTCGTACTCTTGAAACGCTTTCAGTAGACATCTGTTACCTTTCAGAGACCCTATTACAAGACTCTAGCGCCGTCATCAGAATGGCCTCTCCGGTAAACTCTGACGCCAAATACTACTTGCGACTTTCCGGAGACCCAGAAGCTGCCGCCACTGGTCAAGCTGGTGTTGGGGTTGTATTAAGTGCCAGGACTGAATCAGCTCTGCTTGACTGGATCCCAGTCAACAGCCGGCTATGTACAGTCAGACCAAGAGGTTCATGTAGCGTAAGCAGGCGTCGAGACGTTAAGCGTGCCTTGTTTGTCGTCTCCGCCTGTGCCCCTGCAGACTGCAGCCCGGATGCAGTTAAAGATAGTTTTTATCAACAACTACATGAACTTCTGCGTTCCTCCAAAAGGACGGATATAGTCATTCTTGCCGGGGACTTTAACGCACGAGTTGGCCGCCTTCCACCAAGCGAGCACCACCTTGGGGGTAGTTTTGGTCTCGGTGGCAGTTGATCAGACAATGGATACCGACTGCTTGCTCTTTGCTCTGATCATCGCTTGTTTCTTCCGAGCACTAGTTTTCTGCACTCGAGGAGACACTGCTACCTGGCGCCCACCCTCACAAACGCAAGACTGCTCCCAGCTTGACTACATAGCAATCAGCTACAGATGGCGCGGAAGCGTAACGGACTGCTGATCGTACTGGTCAAATTTTCTAGACTCTGATCACGCATTGGTTCGTGCTAAGATTTGCATGCGTTTCGGAGGATCATCTAAGCGTGCCCACTCCCGACCGGACGTCGCGAATCTACAAAACGCTGCGATTTTAACCAGGTACCAAGCCTCACTGTCAACCTTGCTTGGCTCAACTACTGACGGTGATCACGATTCGCAGTGGGTGCATATCAAAGATGTTTTAGTTTCCTCCAGTATCGACACTTGTGGAGTTACTCGTCACCCACCGAAGCATTGGATTTCCGCCGACTCCTTGTCGCTGACGGACAGGCGCCGCTTGCTCCCATCGGATTCCAGACACAGTGAAGAACGCCAGTACCTTGGTCGAGAGTTGCGCAGGAGTCTGCAAATGGACCGCGAAGCTTGGTGGTGTGAACGTGCTAGGGAGATGGAGCTTGCTAGTCTCTCTGATAATACCAGAAAACTCTTTCATCTCATTCGAGTCACCGAAGGTGTTCGATCTGATATAAGTGAAACAATATACGAAGGGGATGGCACCTTAATCACCAGGCTTCAACGACGGTCGGAGCGATGGGCCGAACATTCTGGCTCACAGTTTTGTTGGCCGCCAGCTCCATCTGCTACCTCTAGGGCTCGCGCTGGGGCCGAAT